TCCTCCCTTCTCCAGTCCATCTCTGGAGCCCTACCATTCCTCACTTTCCTAATGAACTTATCCCAGACCACTGGCTGTGTCCCCTCTGACTTCAAACACACACTCGATTCATCTGACGTCAAAAACTAAACGCCTGTATCCCTTCTTTCTTTTCTTTCCAAAACTCTTGAGCGTGCAGTCTCTGGTCATCTTCTTGACCCTAACCAGTCAGGCTTCAAGACAGGTCACTCAGCCGAGACTTCTCTTCTCTGTGTCACGGAGGCTCTCCGCACTGCCAAAGATGTCTCTCTCTCCTCTGTTCTCATCCTCATAGATATATCCGCTGCCTTTGACACTGTGAACCATCAGATCCTCCTCACCACCCTCTCAGGGCTGGACATCTCAGGCTCTGCACACTCTTAGATTGCATCCTACCTGGCAGGATGCTCTTACCAGGTGACGTGGAGAGGATCTGTGTCTGCACCACGTACTCTCACTACTGGTGTCCTCCAGGGCTCGGTTCCAGGCCCTCTCCTCTTCTCTCTATACACCAAGTCACTCGGCTCCGTCATATCCTCACATGGTCTCTCATATCATTGCTATGTGGATCACACTCAACTACTTTTCTCCTTACCCCAAGTGGCCCAGGGGGCGACAAGCATCCCTGTCAGATATCTCAACTTGGATGTCACCTCACCACCTCAAGCTAAACATTGACAAGACAGAGCTGCTTTTCCTCCCAGGGAAGGCCTGCCCACTCAAATACCTCTCCATCACGGTTGACAACTCCACAGTGTCACCCTGCCAGAGTGCAAAGAACCTTGGCGTGACCCTGGACAACACCCTGTCATTCTCTGCAAATATCAAAGCAGTGACTCGCTCCTGCAGGTTCATGCTCTACAACAGGCCTGGCCAACCCTGTTCTTGGAGTGCTACCATCCTGAAGGTTTTCTCTCCAACCCTAATCTAGCGCACCTGATTCTAATAATTAGCTGGTTGATAAACTGAGTCAGGTTAGATACTACTGGGGTTGGAGCGAAAACCTTCAGGAGGGTAGCTCTCCAGTAACAGGTTTGGGCAGCTCCGCTTTACAAATCAAATCAAATTTTATTGGTCACATACACGTATTTAGCAGATGTTATTGCGGATGTAGCGAAATGCTTGTGCTTCTAGCTCTGACAGTGCAGTAATATCTAACAAGTAATATCTAACAACTTCACAACATATACTCAATACACACAAATCTAAGTAAGGAATTAATTAAGAATATATACACTACCGTTCAAAAGTTTGGGGTCACTTAGAAATGTCCTTGTTTTCGAAAGAAAAGCAATTTATTTGTCCATGAAAATAACATCAAATTGATCAGAAATACAGTGTAGACATTGTTAATGTTGTATATGGCTATTGTAGCTGGAAACATCAGTCTATTCTTGTTCTGAGAAATGAAGGCTATTCCATCAAGCCTACTACTGTTGTGTCGTCCGCAAACTTGATGATTGAGGCGTGCTTGACCACGCAGTCATGGGTGAACAGAGAGTACAGGAGTTGGCTGCGCATGCACCCTTGTGGGGCCCCAGTGTTGAGGATCAGCAAAGTGGAGGTATTGTTTCCTACCTTCACCACCTTGGGGCGGCCCGTCAGGTAGTTCAGGACCCAGTTGCACAGGGAAGGGTTCACACCCAGGGCCTCGAGCTTAATGATGAGCTTGAAGGGTACTATGGTTTTGAATGCTGAGCTATAGTCAATGAACAGCATTCTTACATAGGTATTCCTCTTGTCCAGATGGGATAGGGCAGTGTGTAGAGTGATGGCGATTGCATCGTCTGTGGATCTATTCGGGTGGTAAGCAAATTGAAGTGGATCTAGGGTGCCAGTCTCTCAAAGCACTTCATGATGACAGAGGTGTGTGCTACGGGGCAATAGTTGTTTAGTTCAGTTACCTTTGCTTTCTTGGGTACAGGAAAAATGGTGGCCATCTTGAAGCATGTGTGGACAGCAGTTAAGTCCATTGTTTTGTATCCTGGCTTCGGGACCACCAGTAAAGATCCTTGTTTCACCATCTCTGCCTACTGCCTACTGTCTATCCTGCACCGCACCTGGGTCACACCTCACACCAACCCTTACAATGAAGTGGTGTTTCGGTAACAGATTTCTATCAGGAAACAAATACTTGAAAAGCCTTTGATGTTCAGCAATTAAGTGCTTCAGATAGCTAGTCTTGCCCTACGTTAGTATAGGAGAAAACACAATATTTACAATTTGTAGTAGTAACAGAAGCAGCTGCCAGTACCAGATCACCAAATATCAATGGCAAATTACGGAGAAGACACCAAGACTGAATGGCATTTAGACCCAAATCATTGCTCCCATCATCCAATTTGACTGCAGGTGGACAATTCCGCCTCTCTGTGTAGCCATAGTTAAATGAATGAATTCTACAGTACACATCTTTATCAGTCACAAAGTTGGCTTGTATATTCTGTAACACAAGTTTTATCTCAAATTGTGCAACTCCTTCTAAATTGTCATGCATTATATCAACAGAAAAATTGTCTGTAGTATTGGAGTACTGCAGAGAGTTCAATAAGAAAGCATGCTTCACACCGTACACATGAGGTAGTGTTGGGTTTGACTGAATAGTTTGACAATGGTCTGAGTGCATGTGTTTTGTTCGTAAAGTCACTCTTGGGTCATCCTCAGAGAATACAGTTTGAAAATCCACTTTCTCAGTGAGGCAAAAATGGCAACAATAACAAGCACTAAATGATTCCACAAAACCAAACAGGCAATGTATACCAAGATTATCTCCAGTTACTTGGACAATACTGCCATGTATACGACCACTGAAGGAGGGAACTTCAATACCCTCAGTCTCAAGCACTTTCAAATCGCTTACTATTGGCTCAATAATGGAATGAAATCCATAAGTTTTAAGGTCCTGGGTATGGAAGAGTGCACAGAAGTGAATATTTACCAAAATTGAATTAAACTTTGGGTGAAAATGCCTCAAAGTAAAGTATATACCTCCCAATTTATGAATACCATTTTTTGATCCCAATGGATTAGCAGTCTCAAAGTCGTCAGAAAATAGTTGAATTTGCAATGCATTTTTTCCTTTAGAAAAGAGAGGATGTCTCTTCATATATAGTCCATCTTCCAAATCAAAGTAAACTCCATCTTTAAAATTGTGCCCTGAGTTAAACATGCCACTCCTTTGGGTTCTACAAAATTGACTGCAATGTCTCCAGAATTCGAACGTAAGAACATTTATCAGTTATGACTATTTGATCATAAGTTTCAGTAGTTTTGTTTCTTCTACTGTCAAATCTAACACCAAGGACTTTCTCAACTGGTTGAACTGTTCCCCATTTTTGTATGAAATAAGCACTTCGTTTTGTTACTGAATTCAACAATGTGAAAGGATTTTCAATATCCTGAAAAGAATGTTGGATTTTTCGGACAGTTTCTGTGTCTTTTGAAGATATAATTTTATATGTAAGAGTGGTCGCTTTAGCTTGACCCTGTATCTCTTGAACTGCTTCTTCCATGGAAGATACAAAACTATTTACAGTCATCTGACCTACACCTGCAGCCTGCAGTTGTGCAATAGCAGACGCACACATATCAAGTGTGTTCTTGTTAGATATTGGTACAACATGGTTACAACTAGAATTTGAAGGAAAATCAGCATTACTTAGCTGATTATCAACGGCTGTATTAGCATCCAAGTTAGCGTTTAACTAAATTTGACAGTCTCCGGAATGTGACCTGTTCAAATGCTTCCTAAAGCCTGAAAATGTACCAAATACACGACAACAATCTGCTTGACCACATTTTAGTCTAAGAGTTCTACCAAGGCACATTCCATGCATCAACTTGAGATGCCTCACGAGCAAGTTGGTACTTCCATGACTAGCATGGCAAACAAAACATATCATCATAACTTAATCGGCATTAGTGCAGGAGTCTAGCTCTGAGCTCAGCAACCCTTGGAGTCTCCTTAACCTTCCCAATGTCTATGTTGTACACGGTTGACTGTATGAAGGTATACATGTTGCGCAGCATTGTTTTGTAGGCAGTACCAAAAACAAAGCGAGTCTTGAAAAGCTAATCAAAGGCACCAAGACCACTCGTTGACTTGCAAGGCTCGCTTGTCCAGGATGATGAAGTAAGCATGGATGCTGCTCTTCCTGGTCCCGACTGCAAGAAGATATGGTTGGCGGCTCTGGTCAATCGCATCAAGGTGCTCCTGGATACTGGTTCCTGCCTGAAGACGACAAAAACTAACTCCATCATTAGTTCATCATAACGGCTGCAGCACTGTCCAAGAATGAGAATGCCAATACAAACCTTTTGGAACATCACAAGATGCTGTTCAGCTTGGGATGCAGGCATCTTGCCTGTTTTTTTGCAGCCTTGTGATGAAGGAGGAATCAAATGGAGCATGAGAAGGATGGAGGAAAGGTCAGCGTCCCATCCTAAACAAAGAAGAGATCTTGATTAAAATGGTAAATTCCATCAGTGACATTAACATTTCAGAGTTATTTGAAATATAAATGATAAAATTATTATCATCTAACCATCAGCATTCGTGTCAGCTCCCTCATCAACTGCAGATTCTGCCATCTGGATCAGCTCCTGAAGTTCAGCTCCCTGAGTGGCCTTGCTTAGGGTCTTGCTTAGCATGATGATCTTTTGCTTGAATGTGGTTGGCCACCTTTCCAGAAACTTGGCTGATGTTCCCTCTCCAAACAGCAGCACAAAATCATGTTCAATCTGAAACAAATAAGACAAAGAACAAATCATTAGTTTTGTGAAAGTCAATTGGTTTCTCACAAAATATTCCACTTTAAACTCCAAAGCAGAGTTTGAGTAAATCACCAGCATACACATTAATTGAACTACTATTTTCGGAAGTGTTGTTTTTGTTTAAATTTACTGGCCAACCTGAATTGGCATCTAGAGATTAAATGCAATTTATACAATTTAAAACTGTTCTTTAAAAAAAGTCTTACCAAGCTCTTCACATCCAGAAAGCGTGGAAATTCGGTTAGGATGGTGGAGCATTTACTCGGGTCGTGGGTCATCTTCTTCCTGTACTCAAAGGTCAATTTAATCTTCTGTTTGACTGTTTCTTCATCAGAAGAATGCTTCATAAGAGAAATGGCCTCTCTGCACTGGTCTTCACTCAGGGTAACCAAAGTGGATGAACTGGACTCCCTCTCAGCAGTTGACCCTCCAGAGTATAGTTGAGTGGGTCATTTCTCAGATGAAGCCAAATTCCTCTGAACGGTTTTGATTCTATACGAGAGGTACCCTTCTCCAATATTAGGGTCATAATAATGATCCTTAAGAAAATGAGCATGGTTACTAATCTTGAAAGAAAAAACAAATAACCAAACAGAATCTCCCGTCAGCTACATATCAGGAGTGATTTCTGAAGCAGTATCATGCCCATCAAGTTTGGTACAAGATAAATATTCTACCAATAGTAGCGGATGGTCAGCAGTAGCCTAACCAATTATGTGACTGAGATACTGATAAGAAGTCATTAACATTCAGCAGATATGGAAGCAAGTAATGCTCAACAATTTTCATTACGAATCTTTCCTTTAAACTTACCCGTCTCTGTCATAGCCGAAACAAGAATGTTGATCATCTTTCGTCTGGTGCAGTCAGTCAGGCTTTTAGTTTTGGAGTATACCTTGATAACAACCTCTCCACCAGGCTTTTTCTTCAGTATGCTCTCTTTTAGCTGTAAAAAAACAGCAGTGAAAAAGCCATTTGATGGCAAGTGAATTGAAGAATTAATTACAAACTTACATTTTTTGCTTCATTATTAGATATTTGACGCTTTCGTGAGGGGCTTCCATCCTCGCTCAAAATGATTGTATCATCCGACTCATAGTCTGAACCACCCATCACAGAACTGGCAGAGACAGGACTCATCAGGGAATGTTCTGAAATATACAAAGATGACAATACAGGCATGTCAAATGGATGTTTATATTGAAAGTGACCAAGACTTGAAAACCAGCACATACCTTTAGCATGATTGTTCAGTGTGAGCTTGAAAACACCAAGATCTGGCCATTTCACCACCTCCTCAAACACATTCCCATCAACTTCAGTTCCATACCCATCATCCAGCTTTGCCTCTGATAAACTAGTAAGTGGGATCTCAAATTTCAGGAACGCTGTGACAAACATTAAAACAACAACCTACAATTATAATTGCAATCTTAATGGTAAGAGTAATCAGACTGACTTGTAAATGTATGAAAACAATACATTTATTTCCAATACAAAATTACAAGTTTACCTCCAATCAAAAGGTTTTCAAGTGTCAGGTCAATGATATTGACATATTTTTGTTCACCATTGAATTTCACCCTGATCAGCAAGACTAGGTCTGAAAGCAGTTAATGCTATGAGATAAGGCCAAAATGGATGAAAAAGCATTACATTTCTATTTCAATCATGACAAATTATAAGGATGACTACAAATGTTTTTACCAATACTCCTTTACTTAGCAATGCTAATTTCAAAGTATATTATGAAAATATTGGATCATGACCACAACTTGTATGATATTTCTTGAAGCAGGTCCCAAACTACAGCAAACAGACTATTCAACTCAAAAATATGGACACGGCCTAATTAGTCCAGTAAAATACACTCATAATTCCAGCTAGTCACTATATTATGTTGTCATGTTCTAGGAGCAGTCTTATAAGACCGCCAAAATGAACTGTTGATAAAGCGAGTGGGAAACACAGTTATCTAGACTAGCTAGCTGCCGATACAATGGCCACAATATTTATCTAAAAGCATCACCCACAAGTCGAACATTCAGTTATAATTTGGCTAAATAAACAACTCACCTTAATCAGATTAGTTCTCAATATAAAGTAAGCAGTTGAAACAAAGAGAACAAACTAGCATGAGGCTAAAAAAGCTTGGTGCTGAAATGAGACGCGCCCATGGAACCATCACATGGAGCAGACTAACTGCACAGGACAGGGGCGAGCTAGTTAGCTAACATGCTAGCTATCTAGCAAAGATGTGCAAAAAGTGAAACGCAAGTAACTCTAACATTAAATGCACACACACAATCAAAACTGTTAGATATTGTATGTTACACTGCAATCTGACAACCAAGTATGAAGTATTTAAATTAAAATAGCTAAATAATATCAGTGAAATAATTGTTTAAAACTCACCTTTGCGTGGAACAAATTCAGATTTTGTTGATCCAACAATTGCGTCGAGAAAATAGGAAACTTTTACGCAGAAACTGAATGTATGGGCAGGGTTGTGATGATGTTTACACTTACTGAGTAAAAGTCTACACTTATAGAGTAAAATGTTATACCTTAGCAATAAACACCCATTTTCAGCACTGATGCTAGGGGTCATTTGGCACTGCCAATTGCTAAAACAACTCTATGGGAGTTGACCACTTTTGACACTGTGAATTTAACACTGGTGATTTTACTGTATAGATATTACTTTAGGATATTTTTTAAGGTCTGTGTTTTTGCATGTACATTGCTTGATTGGTTAATCTTATGCTACACAAAGATAAATAACATATATTTTTCTAAACTCGTACAAACAGTTAGTTAGATTTACTGCACCTGTTACTGCAATGGTTATTCTGAATGGTTACTGAATGGTTTGTCAATTTTCCTGACTTTTATATTCATTCTGAATACAGGTTGCGGGTGAATACAAATCCAACTGTTGGATATCATAGCTCTGGTTGGATTCTAATAGGAATTACACATCACTTTGCAAGACTGCATAATGTAACTTGCAGGCCTGATGTGTCCTGTAAAGCATAAGTTTCAGGCCACTGTATTTGGGTAACACTAGGCCTCAAACTAAGTCTTTATGAGATATGTAATGTATTGTCATAAAGAGGTTTTAATGACATTTGCCTAGGAAATCACTAGCTGAAGGCCACATGACTGAAGATGAATGAATTCAACAACCATGTCTCTGTCACTAACAAATAAAGTATTACATTCAGTCGAAAAGGCACACTGGGAAATTATATTTGAGGTGTGGCTTAGTCGGGGCGTTGCTGTCAGTTCATTATTTTTGGCCACCCATGAGTGGAAGTGTTGTACCAGTTTAAGTGGTGTATGGTTATGTTCATTGAAGTCTGAGCATGTCTGCTGCCAGTTCTGAAGTCTTTGTAAGTTCTTATGTAAGAGCTTTTGACAATAATGGTTTGTAAATAATATTACATTTACATTTTAGTCATTTAGCAGACACTCTTATCCAGAGCAACTTACAGTTAGTGAGTGCATACATTTTCATTCTGGTCATACACGATGTGTAGATGATATATCTCTGTTACAAACAGTCTGTCTGTCTGTCTGTCTGTCAGTCTACTGGTCTTTCAGTCTGTCTACCTGTCAGTCTGTCTACCGGTCAGTCTGTCTGTCTACCTGTCAGTCTGTCTACTGGACTGTCATATTGTATTGTCTTTAAGGTTAACCACATTACAATGATTTTGAGCTACAAAGGCGATGTTTTAATATATATATATTTTTTTAAATATACATTACCAGTCAAAAGTTTGAACACGCCTACTCATTCCAGGGTTTTTCTTAATTTTTACTATTTTCTACATTGTAGAATAATAGTGAAGAAATCAAACCTATGAAATAACACATATGGAATCATGTAGTAAACAAAAAAGTGTTAAACAAATCAAGATATATTTTATATTTGAGATTCTTCAAAGTAGCCAACCTTTGCCTTGATGACAGCTTTGCACACTCTTGGCATTCTCTCAACCAGCTTCATGAGGTAGTCACCTGGAATGCATTTCAATTAACAGGTGTGCCTTGTTAAAAGTTAATTTGTGGAATTTCTTTCCTTCTTAATGCGTTTGAGCCAATCAGTTGTGTTGTGACAAGGTAGGGTGGATATACAGACGATAGCCCTATTTGGTAAAAGACCAAGTCCATACTTTGGCAAGAACAGCTCAAATAAGCAAAGAGAAACGACAGTCCATCATTACTTTAAGAAATGAAGGTCAGTCAATACGGAACATTTCCAGAACTTTGAATGATTCTTCAAGTGCAGTCGCAAAAACCATCAAGTGCTATGATGAAACTGGCTCTCATGAGGACCGCCACAGGAAAGGAAGACCCAGAGTTACCTCTGCTGCAGAGGATAAGTTAATTAGAGTTAACTGCACCTCAGAATGCAGCCCAAATAAATGCTTCACAGAGTTCAATTAACAGACACATCTCAACATCAACTGTTCAGAGGAGACTGCGTTAATCAGGCCTTCATGGTCAAATTGCTGCAAAGAAACCACTACTAAAGGACACCAATAATAAGAAGAGACTTGCTTGGGCCAAGAAACACGAGCAATGGACATTAGACCGGTGGAAATCTGTCCTTTGGTCAATGAGTCCATATTTGAGATTTTTGGTTCCAACTGCAGTGTCTTTGTGAGACGCAGAGTAGCTGAACGGATAATCTCTGCATGTGTGGTTCCCACCATGAAGCACGGAGGAGGAGGTGTGATGGTGTGGGGGTGCTTTGCCGGTGACACTGTCAGTGATTTATTTAGAATTCAAGGCTCACTTAACCAGCATGGCTACCACAGCATTCTGCAGCGATACCCCATCCCATCTGTTTTTTGCTTGTTGGGACTATAATTTGTTTATCAACAGGACAATGACCCAAAACACACCTCCAGGCTGTGTAAGGGCTTGTTGACCAAGAAGGATAGTGATGGAGTGCTGCATCAGATGACCTGGCCTCCACAATCGCCCGACCTCAACCCAATTGAGATGGTTTGGGATGAGTTGGACCGCAGATTGAAGGAAAAGTAGCCAACAGGTGCTCAGCAAATACTGTTGGAAAAGCATTCCTCATTAAGCTGGTTGAGAGAATGCCAAGAGTATGCGAAGCTGTCATCAAAAGGGTGGCTACTTTGAAGAATCTCAAATATAAAATACATTTTGATTTGTTTAGGTTACTAAATTATTCCATATTTATATTTTAGCAGACGCTCTTATCCAGAGCGACTTACATGAGCAATTAGGGTTAAGTGCCTTGCTTAAGGGCACATCGTCAGATTTTTCACCTAGTCGGCTCGGGGATTAGAACCAGCGACTTTTCGGTTACTGGCACAACGCTCTTACCCACTAAGCTACCTGCCACCCTAGTTTGATGTCTTCAGTATTATTCTACAATGTAGAAAATAGTAAAAAATAAAGAAAAACCCTTGAATTAGTAGATGTGTGGCCGATTTAAACAACCAGAATATTTTTTTACATTACAACAAATGGCTGCTGGGTAATTTAATATGCGTCAAAATAATTTTGTTCGCAGGTATAGAATTGAGCGGATGCAGCAGGTTCACTGAGTTGCAAACCAAATGGATAGGTTTAGCTCATTGATTTGTAAATCAGACGCAGTTACTACCTCAGATTATGAGCCTAGCAAATGTCGCGAATTAGTTATGTAGTACCCACAGAAGGCCACGGGGAGGAGCAGGAGAGCTATAAACCTATACTGTTTTTACCTTAAAAACCCAAAACCTAACCCTAGATATAACCTATTTTAGCCCTAACCCTAGGTATAACCTATTTTAGCCTTAGCCCAAACCCTGAACAGATAGCAACCCTAGCCACAACCCTAATTCTAGGCTAGGGTAGCCTAGAACACTTTTAGAAACTATTTTAGTAATAATATTATGTTAGTAAATACCATTTTTGTACTAAATAAAATGTTCATTTTTTTTTTAAATTAAAAACCTATGTAAGCATTAGCAGTTTTTTCTTGTTGTTATTAGTTATTTTATGATGTTTATTATTACAAGGCAGAACATTGCAAGCCACATTATTATTATTTTTTTTTCAAATGTGGTTTGAACTGGGTGTGACCTAGTAACCTCTGTGAAAGTCCAGCAATTGGCGTGGGATAGGTTGGGCAGGTTTGAGACTGATCTCAGGAATTAATAATAAAATACACTTTATTTCTCAGCTGCCTCACCAATGTCTTTATGTGAATTAATAACTTTTAATAACTTTTAAATTAAAGGCTTCTTAACAGTTTCTACCCCCAAGCCATAAGACTCCTGAACAGCTAATCATGGCTACCCGGACTATTTGCACTGACCCCCCCCCCCCCCCCCCGCCCCATCCCCCTCTTTTACATTGC